GCTTTATTGCCTTGGGGCCATAATCACTTAATGTATTTCACATCTCAGTACATTCAGACAAATATCTGAGTTCCAAATAATTGAAAAATAAATATATGAGTAAATTTAGTTAGGCAAGAAGTCACTGTCAATGCCATGTTTCTTGGGAAAATAAGACTGTATGAAAGTCGTGAGGTAAGATAAGGTGGGGAACATGACCAGTTAAGAGCAATTTTAAACGGCATTCTCCTTATTGCATGAATTATACCAATCATTATCCCTTTACATTTTCTCACACAAACACATCCAAATGCTTGGTGATTATGTTTGCAGAGTGGGGAAGTATTGTGAATATAAGACTTATCTACCAGACTAGATCATCAGTGGAAGAAATAATGTGTTTTTCCTGAGGCTATTCCAGAAATGAAGAGAAGAGGATGATTATATTAACAGATGCACAGAAATTTAAAAAAAAGAAACAACTTGGTATTTTAAGACAGTTGCTTATTAAACTAGGAAAACTTCTGCATACTGGACTGCCACATTGCTTAGTCTTATGGGAGTTCCACAGGCTGTGACACTGGCCCTGGCCGGCTGCAGCAGGAGTGATTTCTAGCCTTTTTCCATGTTTTAAAACTAGGCTAAACACAAAGGTACTGAAGGCAACACGCCACCTAGGACCCTCTTTCTCACAGGCAGCAGGAAACACATTCTTCATAAGACTGCTATTTTTATTTACAAAAAAAATGTGGGGCTGTTTGTTGTATCATCATTAAAACAGTCAGAGGATAAGGAAAAGTTGATGGATAACTTCCTGATATAAATGAATATCTTTTTTTTAAATTCCCTTAAGAGTTGAGGTCAATAACATTCTCTAAAACAGAAATGCAGATTTCAGTGCTTATAAGAATAAACCTCGACAGTAATGTCCCAAACTTGGTTAGAGTTCCTTCCATGCAAGGCAAAACAAAGGAAAAACGGTTGAAGAAAAGTGTAGTTTTTTCCACCGATGACCTACATGTTCTCGCTAATATCAGTGGAGTGTCCTTCATCTTTGGGCATAATTCTAGAAAAAGCCTTCTGGTGCCAGGGCTTTTCAGTCCCTGAGCAAGAGAGGCTCCAGCTGGCTACAGACTTCCATGCCTACCTACCCTACAGTGCACATGGTGTATTATTATCTGCTGATTTTCCTTTTCATGCAATCAGAAAACATGGTCCATGAAAGATTTCTGTCTGCCTTCCTTACCACTATAAACCCAGTGTACAAAACAAGCATTTAGTATTTGTTGAATGTATTTAAAGTTTCCAAAAGTGAGCTTTTGTTTTGGGTTGTATTGCCATTTATTAGCTGAAAAAGGAATTCATAGTCAACAACACAGACTTTTAAAAAAAAGTTAACAAAAAGCATGTTAAAATTCCTTTTAACTGTGATTTGTTCATGTATTTATAAAAAGTATGTTAACAGTAACATTCCTATTATGCAGGACAAATACCAGAAATTAAACATGAACTCTAGTGAAATGTAAATATTTCTGTCAGCCTATAGCAGTGGTTCTCAAACTTTATCATCTCAGAACCACTCTATGCTTTTAAAATTGAGGATTCCAAAGAGTTTTGTGTTTTTGTGGGTTATATCTACAGATATCTACTATATGAGATTAAAACTTAAAACATTTATTTATTCATTTAAAATGGCATAGCTTGTTTTTACAACTAATTACTGTAATTTTCAAAACAAAAAGTGAAAGAGTAGGATTTTTAACATTTTGCAAATCTTTGTAACATCTCCTAATGTCTAGCTTAACGGAAGGCAGCTAGATTCTCATAACTTCTCTTATATTCAGTCTGTTGTAATCTTATATCATAAAATAAAAAAATGTGCTTTGTTACAGAAAACCGTACTTGAAAAATAATTAAATAAAAAAAGAGAAAAAGAAAAAAACAAAAAAATGTGTTTTGTTCAGATAAGTAGATCCTCAAAATATCTGTACCTAATATTATTTTTAATGATTAAAGACTAAATACTTTTCCCCTAAGATCAGGAACAAAGCAAATATGTTCAATCATGCCTTTCCTATTCAATATACTGGAAGGGTTAGCCAGCATCATGGGGAGATAAAAAATAATAAAGGCCCATGGATTGGAAAATGAGAAATATTTCTATTTGAAGATGACATAATTCTTTACATAGGGAAACCCAAGGAATCTATAAAACCAAACCAACCAACCAAAGAAAAACCCTAAGAACTGCTAAACTAATAAGTGAGTCCAGTAAGATAATCTTTAATTTCTATATGCAAGCAATAAAAATGTAGACATAAAAATTAAAAATAAAACATGATTTATAATCACTCAAAAAATGAAATACTTTGGTATAAATTAGGCAAAAGATATAATCCAGAATTTGTAAGCTTAAACTATAACATAATGGAAAAAAATGATCTAAATAAGTATTCATGGATTGGAAGATTCAACATGATAAAGATGTCAGTTCTTTCCAAATGAAAACTCTAGCAATATTTCTTCTAGATATAAACAAAATTTTTCTAAAATTTATATAGAAGTGAAAAGGACATACAATAGCTAAATTTTTGAAACAAGAAAAAATTGAGTAGAATCTTAATACATATATATGTTTGATAGTTAAGACTGTATATTAGCAGAAGGAGAGATTATTGCAACAGAATAGAGAACCTACAGATGGAGCCATATAAATATGACCAAGTGATATTTGACAAAGACGCAAAAACAATTCAATGAAAGAAGGACAGCTTTTTAAACAAATGGTGTTAGAACATTTAAACATCCAGAGGCAGAGAAAATTGGACCTCAAGCTGAACCTTAGGACTTAAACATAAATAAGAATGAATCATGAACCTAAAGGTAAAATTGTAAGAGTTTTAGAAAAATATATAAGATAGTCTTTAAGTTTTAAGGCCAGACCAACAGGTCTTAGACTTGACATCAAACATACAATTTATAAAAGAAAAACTTGTTGTATTCAATTTTATCAAAATTAAACATTTTGACCACAAAGACCTTGTTAAGATAATAAAAAGGCTACTTACTTGGACAAAAATTTTTACAAAGGACATAAATGACAAAAGACTCTGTCTAGAATATACAACAAAGTCTCATAGCTCAACAGTACAAGAAAAACAACTCAATTAAAAATGAGCAAAAGTCTTATACACAATGGAATTCTATGCTGCAGAGAGAAAGAAGGAGCTACTACCCTTTGCAACAACATGGATGGAACTGGAAAGCATTATGCTGAGTGAAATAAGCCAGGGGTTGAAAGACAAATACCATATGATCTCACCTTTAACAGGAAGCTAAACAACAAAACAAACAAACAAGCAGAAAAAAAACAAATAAAAAACAAAGACACTGAAATAGAGAACAAGGGATAGTGACCAGAGGGGAGAAGGAAGGGAAGTTAAGGGGAAAATGGGGGAGGGATTTAGAGGAACAAATAGGAAGGACACAGGGATGAGAACTAAGGGGGGTGGAAATGGGAGGGAGGTGGGGAGCAAGGGGCGGGGGGAGGCTGGGATGGGAAAAATAGACAAAAAACTGTACTTGAAAAATAACTAAATAAAATAAATTAAAAAAAATTAAAAAAAAAATGAGCAAAAGAAATGAAGAGAGACTTCACTGAAGAGACTATCCAGATGGAAAATAAGCACATAAAAAGTTCTTCAATATTGTTAGCCCATCAGGGTAATGTGAATTTAAGCTATGATGAGATAATACCATATGAGAATAGCGAAAATAAACAAATAAGGACAACACCAAATGCTGGCAAGGATGTGGAGAAACTGTTCCACTTAATTTATACATGGTTGGTAGAAATATAAAATGGTATGCCCCCTCCGGTAGACAGTTTAACAGTGTATTGAGAACTAAACATGCAACCACCACATGATCTAGCAATGGCACTCCTGGACATGTATCTCAGAGAAATGAAGATATTTCCACACAAAAGCCTGTACACAAATATTTATAGCAACTTTATTCATAATAGCCCCAAATTGGAATCAGTCCAGAACATAACGAATGAATAGCTAAACATACTGTGGCACATCTATGCCATGGATTATCAGGAAGGGCCAATAAATTAGATATCTATACAGCATCCTTTAAATGTCAAACTTGCAGAAAAACTTATTATTGGTTGCTAGTCATTAAGGACAGCAGGTAGAGTGGACAGGGATGTCAATGCTGCTATAAAAGATTAACAGGAATAATCCCTGTTGTAAAGGAATCATTCTGTACCTTGATTTTATCAGTATCAATCAATATTTTGTGATGCTGTATCACAGTTTTAAACATGTTAAGTTACTGTTGAGGGAAACTGAGTAAAGGGTTCTCTCTGTATTATCGCTTTCAACTGCATTTGAACTACAATCATCTCTCAGAATAAAAAGTATATACACACACACATACACAAATGGTTTAGAAGAAACAATTTTTATTCTTCAAACCAGAGATAAATTCACTGGCTTTAGAGGGTTGGTACCTAGAAAGACATAGAGTTAGCTAAAAATTAGTTTACTTTTTGTTTTTTAAAACTTGGAAGACATAATGACTAGTAATGTTCTAAAAATTTAAGTAAATACTTTTCATAATAGTGGTAGGAAGAGTGTTCACTGGGAGTATTGAAAATTTCCTTCTAAAATGGTTTAACTGAGATAATTTAGTGTATTGTTACTATTCTAAATATATAACGACAAGCTCTATGAGACTTGGCATACCTCTTGAGCACTGAAACTTTGTTGCCAAGGGAAGCTATTCACTTTCAATTGTTTTCATTGCCTTGAAGGACTTACTGAGGAGTTCTTGTTTGCAATAATAGTGAGAAGGAATAAAAAGTAATAGATAATCTAAATAAATATACTGAGGAGTGGTATTTTTATTTTATAATCCAATTTTCTTTCAAATTTTGTATTTTAAATGAGGTCAACATCAAGAGAGTTTTGGTGCATTGGTTTGGAAAAACCATATAAAGAGATAAATCAGCGCTCACTTCGGCAGCACATACACTAAAATTGGAATGATACGGAGAAGATTAGCATTGGTTCCTGTGCAAGGATGGTATGCTAATTTGTGAAGCATTCCATATTTAAAAAAAAGAGATAAATCAATTTGTTTACAATGATGTAATATTTAATATTATGTTGGAATAGAAGCCTTTATAGAGCATTAATATAAAAAAGCAGAATAGATGTTGTTAAGGACTAAATGTTTGTGTCTTCCCCCTTTCCAAAATTCTTATGTTGAAATATTAACCCCCAATGTGATGGTAATACATAGTGAAGCCTTTGGGAGTGCTTAGGTGATAGGGTGGATTACTTAGGTAATCTCATGAATGAGATTGGTGACCTTCTAAGAAGAGACAGGAGAGAGATAACTCTGCTCTCTGCCACCTAAATTAGAAGATGACTGTTAACAATAGTCAAGATCTGGAAGCAGCCCAAGTGCCTATCAGTAGATGAGTGGATAAAAAAGCTGTGGTTACATTTACACAGTGGAATACTACTTCACTGTAAAAAACAAGGAATTATTACTGTTTGTGGCAGCATGGATGGACCTGGAGAGTATTGTGCTAGGTAAAATAAGTCAGTCAAAGACAAGTACCATACAATTTTACTCATATGTGGAATTGAATGAACTATCAAGCAAAATAGAGACAGACCCATAGAAAGAAGGCTGACAGCTTTTGGTGGGAGGTTGGGTGGGGCTTGGGGGCTTGGGTGGCTGGGTGGGTGAGTCAGGGGTTTGAGAAGAAGATAAATAGAGAGGAAAACATCTGATAGATAATAGTGTGGGGATGCCAGGTTATGAGGAGAGGTGGAGGAAGGTACAGAGAGATAAATGGTGATGAACGGAGACTGGACTTGGGGTGGTGAACACGAAATGAAGTGTACAGATGAGGTATTATGGAATTATGTGCCTGAAACATGAATAATTTTGTTAAGCAGTAAATTCAATGAAAAGAGAAAAAAGTGTTCTCACTAAGCATTAGATATCTCAGCACCTTGATATTAGATTTATCAGCCTTCAGAACTGCAAGAAAGAAATGTTTCTTGTTTAATCCATCCAATCTATGGTATTCTGTTATAGTAGCCCAAACCGACTAAAATAGATCTTAAAATACTTCAAGAATTCCATATAAAAGGATGAGATATTGGCATTACCATGGAAACCCATCTTGCAGGGGCCAGGGCCTGTTGGCCTGCGGTGGCACAACAAGAACACACCACACTGAGAGGGTCTTCCCACTGCTGTGGCTTCCCTAACACCATGCCACTCAGTAGAAGCTGTTCCCTTTAGTATTTCTGATCTGCTGTTGGAGTTCGGGAGATAGAGAAGGGAAGAGACTTATTTTTTTCCAAAGGCTTTGGAGAAATTGAGAAGACAAATTATAATAGATTTTTCAAGGGGTCTTTTAGTTAGGCTATTGAGTCTAGAAATCTTTGAGCATGGGAAAACATGCAATTTGTTTTTATCTGCTTTTATATACAGTCCAATTTGAATTAATTGAAATGGCATTATTTTCATAAAAATGCTAAGAGCCTGTGTATTACTTTTAATCAAATATAAGAAGTTATTTATGCCAGGAAACAATAATGTAGACATTGGCAAAATTTAAGAATAATACTTTGCAAATGCTTAGCATAGTCTCCTCATTTTTTACATGCAGGAACTAAGGTTCTGTAAAGGGAATGGATTTACTCAAGTCCAAAAACTCAGTGGTAGAGCAAGCCTTAGACCACATGCCTTTTACTTCAAGTTCAGGGTTGTTAACTGTAGTATTTTATTAACAGAGAAGATATATTCTAGTGGCAATTTCTTTTACTCTTCCTCTGCAAAAACAGTAGAAAAATATAAAATGCATAATTAAATATTCTATGATGTTTGTGGCAGATACTTAAAATGGTTCAATTTATAAATATTCTTCATGTTTTGCAGAGACTGGAAAGCAAAAAAATTGCATTTTCAAGATTCCCTTGTGGGTACATTTTTGGATGTGTTGAAGTTCTGCCAATCACATCATTTTGGCAAGACTTCAATTCAGATCTAAGTTCTGCAGGGGGGGAGGCTGTGCTTCTGAGGTCTGGGATTGCCTGTAGGGTTACCCTGGAGCCCATTCAAATATTCCCTCCAGGCTGTGATGATAAATCCCTTTCTGCTTAACCCAGTTAGAGTGATTTGTATCATCTTCAATTGAACCCTAACTGTCACAATGTTATCAGATGAAAAGCAGAGGGTTGTGAAATAGACTGAAATGCAGAAATGGAACCTTAATGGTCTTGAGCTAAGAAAGGAAAGCATAGATTGGGCTGAGATTAGGAAAAGGAGCTGGTGCCAGGGAAGGGAAGGAAAGCTGGAAAGGGTCACATGAATCAAGTCCTAGAAGAAATCAGTGACGATAGAGTCACTCTTATGTTATGATTACCTTTTGGAAATTAACCTTCAACAAGCACTCGAGTCCAGTCGAGATCATCCTAGAAACCACATGAAGTATGGTTTCTAGAAACCTAGAAAAAATGAAGTAGGACTTCAGAAGCGGCTTTCTGGTAGAATTTCTGTAACCACAAATATCTCCTGATCTTGTCGCTGATGCCTGAAATTCCTTTAACAGGGAGCAACTTATGCATAATTAGAAATAAAAGTGTCAAAATGAAAATGCTGATTGAGTTGATGTGCAAAACTCATCAATAGAAAAGTGTAACTGGTTAATTAAATGTGAGTGAATGATGATTTCAGGGCCCTTATTGTTTTAGTGATAGACCTGATTGACATTGATAGAGGACTTACTGTCAACCTGGCCCAGGGCTTCATGTTTTCACACACTCCATGACATTGGGTATCTCTACCACTCTGTAGTTTTGTACAGTATTTTTATTCTCATTTTTCAGGTACAGAAACTAAGAATTGGAAAGATGGAAAAGCATGCCTGAGTCGCGAAGACAAGGCCTGGAACAGAGGCTTATGAAATTTGATAGTTTTGAGTTGGGTGAGTCTATTTGCCTTTGTATCACTAGGGATAAGTTGAAACTGCTCAGATGCAGTTTTCTCATGGGAAGGCAGGCAGGAAGTTCTGTTCTACATGATTTATGCCTTTTTTCCTTTTAAAATGGCTTACTTTTTTATAAAGGGCTGATTTGGCCCAGGGGATTTATTAATAACAACCACAACAAATAGCATTTGTATGTCATTTTATACTCTACTCTATTTTCTTGCAATGAATGTTTTATACATTGTTTATTTTTATCTTCACAACAACTGAATAGAGACAAGTACTATTCCCTTCCACATTTAAGATGAAAATTGAGGCCCAAAATTTAAAGTTGTTGCCTCAAATAAGTGAAGTGCACTTATAAGTGCTCAATAAGTGAAGATTCTGGATCCTGAATGCAAGGATTCAGTCTCCCTTCTTCACTAGAATCTATTATTGTTTATGACAGGTAAGTACTTACCTGGTGACCCTCAAAGACATCTTGAACCACACAAAGGCCAAGGCTACAGAAAAAGTGATTCTGTTTATCACTTTATCCATCTCATCCCCAGGACCCACTTATGCTATCGATCACATGATATGTTAACTGTTTATAAAGTCTCTCTTCTCAGTATTCTGCAAGTACAGACTATGAGCGTTGGCATTTTACTTTATTCATTTTAATAGTCCTAGCACCTATCATAATGCCTTGCATAAAGTAAGCATTCAGTATATTTTAATTAATGAGTTCCTCCAAAACATTAATTTTCAAAGCAGGATAAAAATAATAAATTTTTCATTCCAATGTTTTAGCTGATTCCCCCCCACCCCATTTTTTTTTACCATGATAGATTTAGTGTATGGTGACTAGCATGATGCATAAAAAATATTGGTACTGAAGTAATTTATGTGTTTTAGAAATACCCCATCTTTACTACCAGCTGTTCTTGGTCAAATATTTTGCCAATTACTTCACTACTAACTTAAAAATCTGGATAGAAGCATCTTCTCCAGAAGAGTACATTGTTGTGATTTTCTTCCCCCTGCATACATTGGACTAGTGATATCTCTTGGTGCCAAAACCAAATGGCGATGGCACTTGCCTTTGGAATCATGATAAATGAAGTTGCCCCAAAAGTGAAATTCAATCTGGGCCTTCATATTGCCAAGTGCTGGCCAGTGAAAACAACCATTAAGAGAAAGGACCCTGATTTATTTCTTCAATTTTATCATGCAGGCAGCGTTTGTTGTCAAATGGTACCTAAATTGAATAAACATTCCAAATTTTAAGTTTTTAGTGTTTGACCTTTGTATATGATGGAAGACTATTGAACACCTGCTCTAAAAATCTCCCAGGTTTGAGTGGATGTTCTCATTGCAGCCTGTCCTGGAGTTTGTTCTGTGCCCTTAAATTGGTGGTTACGGCATAATTTCTTTTAACTGCAGGAAACATCTAGCTTTGTTGAAAATGTCCATATAGTTCTCAGGTCATTTTGCAGCCCCGGACACATAAATGTTTCAACGAGTTGTTGACTCAGGTATTATGGGCGCGGCCTGCAGGGTTTACAATATTCAAATGGCAGAAGGAGATAGAGCGGAAGTCTGATGAACCCAAATCATTCTAAATCACTTTGCTGCTAGGAAATTTGCTTTTTTCATCAGTTATTGTTTATTACAGCAAAGAATATAGTTTCTGCTTGGAGATATTTATTGAAAGAATTCTGAGTTTATTTGCTTCATTAGATTTATTTAGGAATTAGTAGAATTTACAGAGATTATGGTCTCTGAATAGTCAGAAAAATTACATAGGACATAAGTATGAAATGCAGATAGATTCAGAATTGGGTCAAACCAATGAATTTTCCATTTTGTATATTGGTTTTAGCACGATTTACATTATATTACAGCTAGCCCTTTCTTTGTCTGATTTATCCACTGAGTTATTTATTTACTATTTTACCAATCTTAGAGGCTAAATTTTATTTACCTTTGCAAAATCATGTTACCTGTGTAGTCTAGCACCATTGTCAAGCCAGATCATAACACGTAATAGATATTCAGTAAATAGTTGTTGATTCTCAATACAGAATAAATTCTATAATATAATGAATACTTCAAATTATA